GTTCTTTGTTTTTTTAGATTCCAAATATAAGAGAAACCATATAGTATTTGTCTCTGTCTGACCTATTTCACTGGGGATGATACTCTCTAGGCCCACCCATGTCGATACAAACAGTAAGATCTCATTCTTTTTTATGATGAGTACCACATCTTCTTTATTCATTCACCTGCAGAAGGATAGCTGGGCTGCTTCCATATGAAATAAGATACTTACCGAATATTATTATTTTACTTCAAGTCTAATTTTAGTTCTAGAGAAGGTGGTGCTATCTCAAAGGCCTGGACAAAGTTTTATTTTTCTCTTATTTCAGGAAGATCACTTAACAGCAAACACTTGAGGTTTCTTAAGTGGTGCAGAGCAACACTGCCTGTCTGTGAAACACCCACATGAAATTATTTCCATTTCCAACAAGCTTTTATGTAAATTTTCAAGTTTACGAAGTCTCTCTGAACAGTCGGGCTCAATATAATGACACCTGCACAACCTTGTTTTTCCAGCATGCTGTTATCTTGCCATGTGATCAAATCCAACGTTCATGATTTCAGAGCAGTGGCACCACCTGCCTGAATTCTGTCTGTCCAGAGGGCCTGATGAGATTGCTGTAGTCCTTCTACCAGCTCTCCTGGCCCTGGTGGCACACCACAGCCCTACAGCACAGTCACTCGGATGCCGCCCGTCAGGGCTGACATCCACTTTATTCAACCAACCCCAGAAGTATCTGGAGTCACAGGACCATGGGGAATTTCTTTAAGCCACCCAATTGCTGGGGTATTTTTCCAAAGAGCATTTTTTTGATAGCACTGGGGAGGGAGGCAGGGAGTATTCCTTGTGTCTACAGCAGTGCCACCCTGCCCCGTTACCTTTTTAAATTTGTAATTCCCTGAAATCAAACTCCTGGACATTAACAGTTTCTTCTGACGGCTGCCTGGTGATGTCTTCTGTCCAGTTACCCACAGGGCTGTTTGCTGACTGGATACTACTACGCATTATCAACATTTTTTCTGGTCTGTGGTTTTATTTGGGAATCTTGTTATTCAAATGTTTAATTTAATGGGGTCTACTATCCATCTTTAATCTTTTATGATTTGTGCTTTCTCTATTTTAAACATCTAAGGTAAAAAAATTATTTTCATTTCGTACTTCTTCCATTCAGGTCTTAAACCCTCTGGTTACTCCCCATCCAAAACAGAAAGCCACTGGCCCACTCTGTTTACTGTGTAACTCCCCCTTTCCCTTACTCTTACTCTTTTGGAAGATGACTCTTTACTCAGTGTCCAGCTAGGTGTGCCCTGTCTATGTGCCTTCTGTTCCCTTGATCTGCATGTCTCTGACAATATCACACTGTTTAAACTACCATGGCTTCACAGTAAGTTACCTTTAAATTTTTCTTGCATACTTGATTCCATCTAATGTTTAATACTGATGGATTCCTAGCTTCTTCCTGAACAATATAAGTGAAAAAAAAAACAAAAACAACAAAAAACCCCACAGCAACCACTACGCTTCCCCAACACATTAAATTACATAGATCGAATCCTGGTTTTGTGTGATAGTTTGGAAGTTACATACTCTTACTATTAGGATCGTAATTCTAACAGTAAGTATTTGCACGCAAGTAAAGTTTATCTCAGTTTATCTTATCTCAGACCTTTCTAAATGGAATATTTTCCTTCTGCCTGAAGTACATCATTTAGAATTTTCGCCATAGAACCTAAGGAAGTATGCTTTCCTTCAAGGATATTTTTAGCAGGGACAGAACACTGTGCTGAAGGTTTCTTTCAGAATATATTCCACCGCCTGTTGATTTCCTCTGTTACTGCTGAGAGTCAACTGTCAGCCTCATTCCTATTACTTTTTAAGGTCATCTTCTTCCTCTGGATGCTTTCGAGTTTGTCTTTTGTTACTACAATTTCATTACGGTATGTCGAGTTATCTACCCATCTTGGAATTTGGGCTTCCTGAATCTGTGGACTGGTGCCATATCTATTCTGGAAAATTCTCAGCAAATACCATCTCTGATTCATTCTCTTTATTTTGAGATTAAAAGAAAGTCTGACCTATCTACTGAATCCTGTTTGTACCTCTCTTTCCTACCATTCTTCCTTTCAGCCCTCTTCTGGGGTGTCCTCTCTGCTGCTAAAAACATTCTTGGATTTCCTTTTTTTTGATTATTGTATTTCATTTTTAGAAATTCTATTAACCTACAACACCTGTTTAGTTTCCTCTCTCCAAAGATATGTAAGACTGCCTTATTCCTTTAAATACAAAAACCACTCTGAATGATAAAGGAGCTTTCCACTGGTTCTTGCCCTCTTTCTTTCTTTCTTTTTTAAAATTTTATTTATTTGACAGAGAGAGATACAGCGAGAGAGGGAACATAAGCAGAGGGAACGAGAGAAGAAGCAGGCTTCCCGCCGAGGAGGGAGCCCGATGCGGGGCTCGATCCTAGGACTCGCAGATCATGACCTGAGCCGAAGGCAGACGCTTAACAACTGAGCCACCCAGGCACCCCTTGCCTTGTTTTCTTATTTGGACTATCTTATTGCACACTGCTAAAAGCCTGTAAAAAATATGTGCGGATTCCTCAAGATCTAGGAAGATGATGCCTCTATCCAGAGATCATGGTTTTCATTTCCTTCTAAGTCTTTCAAGCTGGCTGCAATAGTACGAGGGCCAGCCTTTTGTTTCAACCTTTCAGAAACATGTTCTCTCCCCTACTGTTTCCAGAGTCTAGTGACTGTGGTTCTTCAGACGGTGTTCACTCCAGCAGTGCGGCGCTGCAGGGTTCCAGCTTAGTAGGGCATGTGGGGCCCTGTTCCCAGGAGGAGCTGGGCTCTGACTTCGGAATCAGCCCACACTGCTGTCGAAGCCACAGCCTGGCTCCACAGCTGTTCCTGCTGGTATAGGAACCAGCTTCCAGTCTGGCTGGTGCGCAGGTTAAATCTGCAGGTAGTACTTTATGCCAGTATCCTGAAGGCATTCCATTTCCTTCTCCCTCCTGGTGTCCTCAAGAGCTCCTCTAATGTTCCTTTTTAAGTAATTTTTCTTCTCTCTAGTTGCTCTTACAATTTTGCTTTTTGTGTTCTGCAATTTTGAGTCTTCTGGTAATCTGCTCAGTTTTCACAGCTTACTGTTTTCTTCAGTTGTGTTCAATCTGCAGGTTAACTGTTCATTTGGTTTATTGCAATGACCACGTTTTCACTTCTTCAAGTTCTAAGTTCTCTATATCCTCATTTTTACAATAGTATCCTTTTTCATTATGGTTTCGATTCCTTTTTTAAAAAAATCTCTAGTCATTGTGAACATTTTTTGTGGTACATTATTTCCTCATGTGGCTATGACCTCATCTTCTGTCCTGAGGTGGCAAGTCTTCCTATAGAATGGTCTTATCTCTGCTTTTGTCAGGAATGACAGGCATTTATGGGTTTATGTCAAAGTCTTTAACATTTCTGTCCAAAGTAGAGTATAAGCTCAGAACCCAGACATGAGCACAGTGGAACTGAGAGTCTCCAACAAGAAAGCAAAGAGGCAAAGCCTCAAGCATACTTCATACAGGAGCTTTGCCACTTCTTTGGGTTGAGGGTATTTGATCCCGTTTTCACAACTTTCCACAGTCCTGGGTGAGTGTGAGAGTGAATGAGACAGAGTGAGAGTGAGAGAGTGAGAGAAAGAGAGAGAGAGAGATGGAGAGAGAATGTGTGTGTGTCTCCCCAAGGGAGTGTGCTAGTGGGAGTTCTAGCTCCCCCACCTTTTGTAGTCACATCTCCTGCCCCTGGCGAGTAATTAAACTCTAGTCTGGTTATAAACTTGACAAGCATCATGGCAGAAGCCCCCAAGCTTAGCACTAGCTTTCGGTTCCCTCTTTTTTCCTGTAACCTGGAAATTTCTTTCTCTCTCAAGCTTGGCTTAGTAAAACTGTAGTCATATTTTGAACATCTCTGTGTGTATGCGTGGGGGAGGTGAGAAATGAAATCCGTATTAGCTCCATCCTGGATGTGTGAGTCAAGGAACGTCCAGAGTCCTTATCCTCTGGGAGCATGTCACAGCTTGAGGTTCATGTCTGTAAAAACCTCTACCTGTAACACCTAGATCATTCAAACATTTTGGGGCAAGCCTGGTGCTTGCTAGGACTACAGTGGAATAAAAATCACGTCTGTCTCTAGAGGCCTAGTCTGCCAGGGAACTCATTTAACACAGGAAGAAACAAGTGCTGTGGAGATAGGAGTTTCAGAAGACAACCTGGGACAAAAGCTGGAAACTTGGGGATGAAGACAAAGATGGGATGAAGGAGCTGGGATGGAAGCAGACAGGTGCAAGGACAGGTTTGTAAGAGCAGCACATGGTTTGGAAGGACTGGCAAAAGACAAAAAAGTGAAGAACAGTTGTAGCCAGAATGAAAAAAACCTTTCAAAAGGTCACATGAAGAAATGTGTATTTTAGCCTAATTGTTGCAGGGAAAAACCTTAAATGATTATGGTGATACACAAAAAAGCTAGCTGGCTTAATAGAAACACAACTCTGGTGGCTGTAGATAAGACAAGAGAAGCCAGAAAAATAGGGAAACTACATGAAAAGCTACTGTAAGAAACTAGGAGAGACCTGGTCTCTCCTAGTTTCTAAATACTATGCAGGGATATTAAGAAAGGAATGAGTTAGAGATTTTGGAGACACAGCAAGACAGAGCCTGTAGGCTGTCAAATTCAGCAAAACACACACACACACACACACACACACAACAACAACAACAACAACAACAACAAGGAACTCCAATTAAATTTGAACTTTGGAAAAACAATGAAAACTTTCTAGTATGTCTCATGCAACATCTGGGTCATACTTGAAGTCCTGTATTTTATCTGGCAATCCTACTTGTGGCCAATTATCCATGAATATGGTCATGGGAAATGAAGAAAAGGAAGGGAAAATGCCTAGGCATGAACAAAAGTTTCAGACCAAGTGAACACGGCTTGGCTGGCAAAGCGGCAAAGACGTGTGCTTACCTGCATTGTAACTAGTCTGTCATCCACCATCACCTCCTTTGTCAGAAAGTCTGCTCCTATTGTAGCTTTGTACTGATTACTGAACTTCTTGTTCACATACTGGTTCATGAGTGATGTCTTACCAACTCTGAAATTGGAGGAAAACCACAAATATAGGTCAATGAGGAAGGGACAGAAAACAGATTCTGATACTTGAAGCTCTAAAGATACGGGCCTATCTTAAAAGGAGAACAAGAACTGTGATCACAATAGAGAGCTGCCCCAGCCAACTGCCCAGCGTTACTCATTCGAGACTGTATTTTCTCCTGTGATAAAAACATGGGGCACAGATGTGGGCCAGATGTTGAAAAGCTGCTTGTAAGTTTTGGTACAAGCAACTCAGATGGTATAACCTAGTATTACTTTTTCCTTCCAGAAAGATGTCAGCAAATACTCTCCTTCTAAAAGGAGCTACAGCATTAAGATCACTCCACCATTCCAAAAATATCTCTGCTGTCTTGGGTGTCTCTCCATTTAGGGGTTGGTACTCGGTCCAAGAAAGTAATAGCACAGGAGGAAGTCACCGGCTGCAAGCAGACATATACACCAGTCAGCCACCTGCTGCTTCGAAGTTTAAAATCTGGAGTGGAGAAAGCATCAATATTCCACACCAAATCAGAATTTCCTCACAGTAAGCTCCTCCAGAGATGTTTTCCAGTAAGAAAACTCAGGAAGAGACGACATGGGGGGGGGGGGGTCTTTTGGTGATGAGATTAGTTAAGGCAGGCTGAAGACAATACAAAAGCCTTCAGAGTGAACGGGAACACCTTCCTCTCCCACTAAGGAACATTCATTTTCATATGCAGAGGAAGGGGAAGTACATTTATGGCTTAGGGCAGTGTTCTCCAACCCAGGCCATCTGGATCTGAATTTTCAGGGGAAAAGCCAGGAGATCTGTAATCAAATAAAGGCCTGGTGATTCTTTCCAGGCAAGTTTGGGGGGCTAAAACAGTACCTTTTGATCCTGACAGCATACCAGAGTCATCAGGAGTAAGGGAGGGGAAGGGAGGGACAGAGACAGAGAGATGTGTGTATTTAAGTATTGCTAACTAGGCCCAACCCACTGGTCTGGAAAAATGCTAACTTCTAAAAGGCTCCTCAGGCAATTAAAAAAGCCGCCAGGGTAGAAAAACCATTGCCTTTTTAATGGGCAGGGAGCTTTGGGATAAGGATGCATACCTGCACTTATTATTATTATTATTAAAAAAAAATACACAGCTTCTAGCTGGTCTAAGGCTTCAAAGGTCACTTCAGATGCTGAGTCTGAAAAGTCTCCCACAGAACCGTAACAGCTACTGAAGAGCTGGTTACTTACTTAGTGGCAGATCTAGGATCAGAATCCAGTTCTCCAGACCCAGATTCTTTGGAATATAGGCCCAAAACTGGCACAGCAGTGGGAGGATACTGCACAGCACACCCCAAACCCACGACTGGTAGGCATGAGGTCAGTGGCAACAAATGTACATAAACAGAACTCCCTTGTCTAACCAGCTCGGAACAAAAGGAATTCCATGAGACTATTCTTGAATTTAAACAGCTACCCTTTCCCCCAAATCATGCCAAAGAACAGGGAAGGAAGGGTTACAGAACAAGAGATCATTCAAATTGCTGCTGTGCCTGAAACAGCAGGAGACCTAGGGCCCTACTGCCCTGCTATTAGAGAAGAAACCGCCAAATGTCAGCACGGAGGGCACCAGCTTCAAGGAGGTCACATTTAATCCTAGCCAACACGTTAGTTCAAACAGTGAGAAACACTTACCCAGAATCTCCCAGGATGATAACCTTCAGCAACACTTTCTTCCTAGAGGTCATCCTTCAAACTGAAAGGAGAAAGGAGAAAGCGCTGTGAGAGTGACAGAAATACCGAGGCAAACCACGCCCCCCAGCGTAAGCATCAAAACAACCAAGAACCATTGAGCCCTACCTTCCCGTTGGCTATTTCCCTGCCATCCGGGGGGACTGGATGGAGAGCAGTATCAGTCATTAGAACTCCGGCCCCAAGCTGGGCAAAATAGTGAGACAGGCTCATCCTGCCTCTCAGAGCAGTCTAAAAGAACATATTCTCCTCTTGGATGTTGAGGAAATAACTGTTTACATATAAAAAAGGTAGGTAAGGAAGTGGGTTCAGTAAAGCCTGTTGTTATTCTTCTACAGTTTGGGAGAACAAGGTAGTCAAAACTAGGTCTTAGAAAAGCTACTTTTTAGTTTCATTTTTATTTATTTATTATTTATTTTAAAAGATTTTATTTATTTATTTGACAGAGAGATCACAAGTAGGCAGAGAGGCAGGCAGGGAGAGAGGGAGAAGTAGGCTCCCCGCTGAGCAGAGAGCCAGACTCAGGGGCTCAATCCCAGGATTCTGAGATCATGACCTGAGCTGAAGGCAGAGGCTCAACCCTCTGAGCCACCCAGGCGCCCCTCATTTTTATTTATTTTTAAAAGATTTGTGTGTGTGTGTGTGTGAGAGAGAGAGAGAGAAAGAGAGAGGGCATGTGTGCATGAGGGTATACGAGCGCACACATCGCGCACACATCTGAGCTCACACAGGGGGAGCAGCAGGCTCCCTGCTGGGCAAGAAGCCTGATGTGGGTGGGAATCGATCCCAGAACCCTGGGATCATGACCCGAGCCAAAAGCCGATGCTTAATGGAGCCCCACTCAGGTGTCTCTTAGTTTTTTTTTTTAACCACCTAGCTTCTAGAAGGCTGAGAGGCTGGCTACATGACTGTGACTTTATCTTGTTGCTAGTATTTGCTTCTGTAATAGTCTTAACATCTAATACTCCTTTGAGTGAATTAAGTGTTTAAACAGCCATTCCTGCCTTTTACTTAATATACCAAAAATCTGGGGAAAGTAATGCTGTAAAGAACATCTCTGGGGACGCCTGGGTGGCTCAGTTGGTTGGGCAGCTGCCTTCGGCTCAGGTCATGATCTCAGCGTCCTGGGATCGAGTCCTACATCGGGCTCCTTGCTCAGCGGGGAGCCTGCTTCTCCCTCTGCCTCTGCCTGCCACTCTGTCTGCCTGTGCACTCTCTCTCTCTCTGTGACAAATAAATAAATAAAATCTTAAAAAAAAAAAAAAAGAACATCTCTGAACTTCAGTTTGTGGGATCATTTCCTTAGGACCCAGCAACAGCCACGGGGTGGGGTGCGAGTGTGGGGGGGCACAATCTCAGAGTCAAAGTCACAAGACTATCACAGGCCATACATTCACTTATACAGGCCATACCTGGCATGCATCTACTGAGAAGGATTGGGACAGGAACACAGCTTGTTGGCTGTTCTTTCAACAGTCCACATAGCAGATGGCTCAGGTATAGGGAGAGTATGTGGGTTCAAGCCCTGACTTAAACCTTCACTGTTGAGAGGATCCAATCATCTCTTTTAATAGCTGTACTGGTGCCTTGTGAGGAACACACACAGCCCAAAAGCCAATATGCTCTGCGAAGCCCAAGCATGGGGCTCCATCGGGCTCTCACAGCCTCTCTCTGTCCAGATGCAATCACCAACTGGGAGACATTTTACCATGTCCTTTTTTTTTTTTTTTTTTTTTCCCTTTTTTCTTTTCTTTTACCACAGCGCCCAGGCAAGAGAAGTTGGCAGTCTGCCTTTATTGAGTTCCCCAGAAACAAAGTTAACCAGAGGTCAAATTTTCACACAGGCAAACGGGTTTTGTTAAACTTAACTTACAGATATTGTTTAGGAATGGGGTTACTGAATCAAAAGTATAAACATTTTCATGACTTCCACTAATTCACTTTCTTGAAGGATTTTCCAAATTTATACTACAACCACTGTTGCAGTGGTTAACAACAGTACAAGACTTAAATAAGAAAATGACAATCTTACTGAAACAAAGGAAATCTGAATAAATGAAGAGCTATCTCCAATAGGAAGACTTAATGCAGAGATGTAAATTCTCCCCTACTGAAACAATCCCAAGGGTTTTTTTGGAACTTAAAATAATTCTTATTTTATTCATCAAAATAAATTCACAGGAATCCCTCCCTTTCCTCTCCTAAAAGAATAATGACAAGAGAAGAGAGGACTTGCCTTAACAGTCTTGGAAAGTATGTTATAAAAATACAGTATTAAAGTATGGGGCTGGAACAGGACTAAACAGAAAAAATAACCCAGAAATGAATAATTTGGACAAATATAGCATTATAAAATTCAGTAGCAAGCAAAAGGATGAAAAAAAATTCACGAAGTGAAGGCAGCCAGGAAAATCCTGAGAATTAAGATCCTTATACTTCATCCTCCAAAACAAAATGCCCTAAGGAGTAAATATTTAAATATAAAAATGAAGTTGAAAGGAATACAATTATTAGCAGGTTTTTCCTGGATGGCAGAATTAAAATAGCTTTGTTTTCTTTATACTACCTTATTGTGACCTTTGGAGAACACACTACCCTGAAACTGAAAAAGCTATTTCCACTTCGGAGAAAAATGTTAATCTGCTGATTTTTCAAATAAGTTTTATCATTACAAAATTAGTCCTTATTCATCATGAAAGATACATGAATGAGGATTTCATTTTCACTTACAGCCTGCACTCAACAGTGGATCTGAAGAAACCCAACACGTGGTTTCATCACTAGGATGTTAACGGCTTTAAATTGGCAAAGTTTAGAGCTAGGTTTTTGCACTTACTGTTCTCCAGGATCAAGAATGGGACACTGGTTTCTAGAAAAAAGTTAAGAAAAAAAACAAACCAAAACTGAGCACAACTTTTGCTAAAAGAAGCTGCCCAAGCTGCAACGGCTTTAAAATCTCCACTCGCAGTTTCTTCGCTACCGATTTCCATCATCACCTTCATGGATTTCTGAAATTACTTCTTGAAATCCTACAAACTTAGGGAACACCTGGCTAGCACACGTGGTACAGCATGCGACTCGATCTCAGGGTTGTGAGTTCTAGCCCTAGGCTGGGTGTAGAGTTTACTTAAAAAAAAAAAAAAAAAAAAATTCCTACAAACTAGAAACTTGTAACTGGAAAACAGTTTCTAACAGAGACCACTCCATTTACAGGAGAAACTGAAACAGGCAAAGAGGAAATAAGAGTTGTACAAGGTCCCTAGCCACTGTGTTCCTTGGAAATGAACATTTCTGATAATACCCATTAATCCATTTACATATATCTTCTAATTTTCAGATTAAGGTGTATTCAGAACATATTTCCTTTTTTCTGCTTTCAAACCAAGCCTCATCAGTGTGTTCTGGAGCGATTTCCTTGGAAGAACAAGCAATACTAACTATTTCATAGGCCAAATCGATTCTTTCCCCTCAAGTATAATTTTTTCTCAAATAATAAATCAAAAGCTAGAATTTTCCTGTTAGCCTGGAGCTATCACTCTCTTATCTCTGAAGCAGAGAAACCAACTGGCCATAAAGGCAGACACAACAAAGAAACCCCCATGTAGGTAAAAAGGTCGGGAAAATAATATCCAAGGGTCTGGGCTGGGCAGGGCCAATGAGATCAGAAAGGGCCCCACGGAAAGGTCAGGGGGAGGACATCGAGAACAAAGAACTGGTATGGGAAAAAGTGGAGGAGCAGGGGAGGAGTAGAAGTTGGCGGTCAGCAGGCCACTGCAGAATGTGGCCAGTGCAGCTTTGTGTGGCGATCACAAACTCAAGGTGACTATGCTCCCATGGAGGTGAGACTAGGGAGTTGCAGTTATCAAGGAGCTGAAAGCAAAGCACGTGCAAAGCACCACAACAGTGTAAAACACAGAAAATGAAGGTGAACCAGGTGTAGTATCATGTCTAAGATCACACAGCAACTGGGTGGCAGAGCTGGAATTGTCAAATGTGTCAGCCCAGGCCCCCAATACTCAACCTCCATGCCATTCTGTAGTATCAGCTTTCACCACCAAGAGGATTTTGGTTCATCAGGGCTGGGGACCAGTCCTTAAGGTTAGGGATTCTGAAAAGTTCTCTCTGGCTATTGAGGCGCACATACCAGATTTGGAAACTCCTGACTTGGGGTCCGGAACTGCTGCTCTGATTTACGTATGTGCCTGATACAGTGACGGCACTGACGTCAGAGGTGCAGGGCTGCGGCAGTTGAACCAACTAGTGTTCGAGAGCCCATTAACATTTTTATTTGCGTGGTGTTGCCAAGTTGCCTGCCTCTCTAGGTGGATCAGCTAGATCCTAATCAAACAACTGACTCTCCTGCTACTCTCTCTCTCTCCCCCACCCCCAATTAAAGTACTGAATTATAGAAAATTCAGAAAGGTACACAAAAGAATGAGCCAAAGACAAAAAGGCACCCACAATTCCAACTCTTAGAAACAATCCTATTAGCACCAGGGTTTAGGTCTAATTTTCCTTCAAATAGTTGAGATTATACTGTTGTATCCTGTCTTTCTATATTAAATACCCTCCCATGCTCCTGGCATTAAGGTTACATGACACTGCAGCATATGGATAATCCCACTATTATTAAGCATGCAATTATTTTAAATTATGTATACAATCTGATCACACAAATGTGTTATCACTCAGCAAAATAGTAAGACTATTTTAAAGGCCCTTGAAATTCACTGACAGAATTATTTTCCAGAACAGCTTTATTAACACCCACGCCATCAGTGAACTAGAATTTCCATTTCGCCATACCTCAGCTATCATTAGCACAAATCATTGTTAATCATATGGTCAGCTGGTTCCATCTGCATCTCTTAGATTGGCAGAGGTCAAACATTTCAACCAGAAACCTCTCAGTTGTCTGCTGGTCTTTGCCTATTTTACCTAGTATAATGTGATTTATTGCATACATAGACTAAATATAGCATTGAGAAGGAAGCATCATGGGGA